GGGTATGCTCAGAGTTCCAATAAGGAGGTGATTTTTATAACTGCCAGACCTCAGACTTGCCCCAGGATCTGCAGCCACGATAGCAGCAAGTCTGCGACCAGGGCAGCCTGCGCAGCCTGCAGCCAGCACAGCCACGCTCAGATCTCTGCTGGCTGCAGTAATAAAGTCTCTGCACTGCAGCTAAATGCGTGTCCACCGTTCACGGTGTTTGCGTGCAGTCTGAGAGCACAGCAGGGCGGGCAGGGAGATGGTTTATGGGTGTAGCCTGGCCTCAAGCTCAGCTTCCTGGGGCTGGAGGGGCTGGGACTAATGGTGCCACAGCTGTGTGCCACTGCCTGGCAGCCTGAGCTGGGCTTAAACCCCAGCCACAGCCAGGCTTGAGGGCTCAAGCGCTGTTGAGGCCGCTCTTCAATGTGCAGGTGAGGCCTGAGGGCACGTTCAAGGGGCAGGTGAGGTTTGAGGGGTGGGAGGTAGCAGGATTAACCTCAGACCCACCGGTTCCACCAGCACCCTGGGCACACCTTTCTACCTGATGGAGCACTGCGCTGGCCGCGTCTGCGGCGACGGCTCCCTCCCCACCCTGCAGCCCAGCCAGCGGAGGGCTGTTTATGCTGCCATGAGCCAAGTCCTCGCCAAGATCCACCGCGTAGACCTGAGAGCAGCTGAGCTGGAGGACCTCGGGGAGCACGGTGAGAGAAGGCTCTGTATCCTCTGTCACTGTTTGCCTCTCCTGTGCATCAGCATTTCAAAGGATAGGCTCAGGTACAGGACTTGGCCTGAACTTGGGGGCAGTGGGGAAAGCAAAATGGGCAGCAGGGTGTCTGAATCCCCAGAGCGTGGTGGGAGGGTGTGGAGAGCTGCTTCAGATCCTCCCGGTCTGTGTTTCCTGTAGTGATCCCCAGAGCTGCCTGCACAAGTAACTGCTTTGCTGCCACCTCTGACCAGACTTCGTCGGTCTCTCTGCAGAGCTATCTCAGCTGCTTGGACTTGGTGGAAAACTTACGGTTTTGTCCAGGATCTGTTTATTTTCACTAGAATATCAAACCCAGTGCCCAGTTAAGAATATATGGAGCCCCTGGAAATCACAGTTAAACTCTTGGAGCTTAGCTCAGGGGCTGGACTGAGATCTGCTTGGCTGTTTGACTTTTTCTGCACGCACCTTTTATGCATCTTTTTTGAATTCTCTTTGTGCCCATCCCTCTCGCCCTGAGAGCCTTCATTCCTCTGTTACAGGCAGTTACATTCAGCGGGAAGTTGAGGCCTGGACAAAGCAGTATCGAGCTACGGAAACTCACGTTATCCCAGCGATGGAGAGACTCATCGAGTGGCTGCCTCTGCATTTCCCTGAATCTCAGAAGACAACAGTGGTGCACGGTGATTTCAGGTACTGCCTGGCTGACAGCACCGCCCTGGAGCACATCCCAGGCAGGAGAGAGGGTAAAGCAATATGCAAACTCCAAAGAGATGCTGAGTTGGGCTGGCACAGCAGCTTCAGAGCGGTCCAAAAGCTGGGCTCTGGGTCAAGTTTAGCATCCCCCAGGTAACGAGATCTAAAGGGCCACAAGCCCTTCGCATCTGTCATGAGAAACATATCCCAGGAGGTCCGACTGGTGCTGTCTTGCACCCAGAACTTTCCTGTTTTCCCCAGTGTTCATCTGCCTCCTGGTCTGTGGCAGTTTAAAGCAGTGTCCATTCGAAAGTAGGGAAACTGGGGGCAGGAATGGAGAGCCTGGACTCCTGATGTCCGATGCCAATCTTACTGCCTCACTGGTGTTGCAATTTCTTCGCCCAACCACTGCGAACGGGTCTAACACTGGAGGATCATCAGCTCTTTCTGCAATACTCGGAAATCAGTCCTGGTCGCTAATGGTATTTGGTGCTTAAAGCGTTTGGGTGGCTGGTGAGATGCTGCAGGATGTACAGCAAAACCTGGCAGTGCTACAGGCAAAGTCCTGCAGGAGCGTGGTGCCTCGGGACAGAGGGGAGGGATGCACAGAGATACTGCCAGGGCTGCAAGGCTGCGGCGTGGGTGTGTGCCAGTGCTGGGCCAAGGCTCCCTCCCACCAGGTTTAGTGCCCAGTTCCAGTGCGCCTGGAAGCGGGTGAGCTCTCTGCACCCTGCCAGGGTGGCTGCCCTCTCTGTTTCCTCCTCGGTAAGCTGCTGCCCTCTCCTGGGGCTCAAACTGGTGAAGGCTGTTTAATAATCTGCAGCACATGGCAGTGCAGGGCCTGGAGTTATTGTGTGTCTTTGAAACGATCCCCCGGGACCAGTGTCTTGCCCACTCCACATTTTGGCTAGCCTGTCCTATAACATCTGTTAATGATCTGAGGCCCTGGATAACTTTGTTTCATTCTTCAAAGCACGATTCAGTTCATCATTAACCAGGGAGTTCACTATTGAGTAATCTCAGTCTTCTCTGACTTATGTTTACAGAAATTAATTTGTCACTTGTGCAGCCTCCCAAAGGACTCAGCAATTTTTGCAGAGAGTGAAGAGCACTGGAAAGCACCTCCTGCTGCTGAGCGCTGGGATTTTTTTCCCCTCTCTTGAGACTTTTCTGATCTCTTTTTCCTTCTGATACAGGATGGACAACCTGGTCTTTCATCCAGACAGGCCAGAAGTCCTTGCTGTCCTTGGCTGGAAGCTTTCAACTCTAGGAGATCCCATCTCTGATTTGGCGAATAACTGTATGGCCTACTTCCTGCCACCTCACTTTAATGCACTGAGAGGTACAGAGAGGGCAAAGTCACGTCTGACACACGTGAACTATGTTCAGAAACAGATCGGCTCCTGCTTAGAAAGCTCAGCTGACAGCTGGGCTCGTGCCATATTCCCTGCTCTGCCCTTTCTCCCCTCACTGAAGAGAGATGTTTCCTTCCTCCAGGGTGGAAACATCTTCCTGCACGTGCAGTAATCACCGTGCCACGGTCACCCCATCCCCAGTTTGTCTCGTGTCTGCCGTCCCTTTGGGGGATTCTCTGCCATCCACTCCCCGTCCTGGTTGGAACCGTCACCCTCTTCGTTAGCAGTCGCGTCAGGGATGGGCCCAGAGAGGAGGGCCCTGCTTCACAAGCTTGCCAAACTGCATTTAGAAGTTAATTTGGATTATTTTCCATCTTGCTTCAGCTGTAAAGCCAGGGAACTTTTCTGGGTAGAAAGCTGTGAACCAGGCCAGCCCAGAAGGGGTTTGTCCACAAAGATATACACTTGTTTAATAAAAGAACAATATAGGGGTGAACAGGGAGGAAAATTACTCCATCGTTTAGGAGGAAGATCCACCAGTTACTGCTTTCGCAGTCTCGCCCCAGTGAAGACAACTGCCCTGTGTGCATTTCACCTCCATGGGCTGGTGCCAAACCCTCATTGTTATGTATGGAAACAGCACGGCAGCGTGCTGGCGATGGATGGCGCAGGTCCCTCCGCTGCACGGCTCTGCCACAAGCCTCACGGCATCCCTAGAAAGCTCTGAGCTCCCCACTGTCTGCTGCTTCACTGTTGCCTCTTCACATTTTCCAGGCTTGAGGAAATGTGATTTGGGGCACCTGGGGATCCCCACGGCAGAGGAATATTCCCAGATGTACTGTGACCACATGGGAACAGAGCACCCCGAAAACTGGAATTTCTACATGGCCTTTGCCTTCTTCCGACTGGCTGCAATGCTGCAGGGACTCTACAGACACTCTCTGGCAGGTGAGGGACCCAATCTGTTGAGTCTGTTCTGCACAGGTCCCCAGCCAGAGCGCAGCTGCAGCAGCACCGGTGTGGGGAGAGTTCTCGGGCTGTCCCGGGGAGTCCAGACCGGCAGCACGTGCTGCAGGTGAATCCTGAGAGCTCTGAAATTCTGGGTGTTACAGCAAAACGTGGCATGTCTGGCAGTCTTGTGCTTTCGGCGTAGAGCTCTTAGGGGAAATAAAGCCTCAAAATGAGAGGTCTTGTTTCACCTCTGCGTTTGGAGTGAGCTGGAAGCAACCATCCAGCGAGTTATTGCTGTGTGGAGACAAAGAGGGCTGGGACCAGAGTGTCCTGTAAAGCACAGAGCTCCCTCCCTGCTCCCACGCGGGCTCCGGAGGGTGTGAGGCCTCTACAGCTGTGCTGTGTTGTCAGGTTGTGTCCTGCAAAGAGGAAACAGGGCCAGAGGGGAGCACACACAGTGCACGTCCCCAGTGGCTGCTTTGTGCTGGATGCAAGGCCTGCTCAGTTCCCGTTTGCTGTTTGTGCCGATCCGAGGTTGCTGTGTGGTCTCTTTTCTTTCACGGGAGAACTGAGCAGAGCTCAGAGCCATCTCCTACAGGTGGAGCTCTCAGACCTTCAAGCACCCGCCTTGGCAGAGAGACTCGGAAGCAGGGAGGTGGTGTGAACTCTCAGTGTGGTTTATCTGCATAGATCAGGTCTGGCCTGGGAGGCTTTATCACAGAAAAACAAGATATTATTTTTATATTTCTTTCCCGAGTCCTGCTGGGCTGGCCCAGACAAGGACACATGGTGACTACATAACACGGGCTCTTTCAAATAAAAGTGTCCTATTCTTTTGTCCCCAGAGAGGCCAGCCCCAGGTGACAGCAGCCCGGAGGATGCAGAGTTCGTGGCCGACCTGGGCTGGGAGTTTGCCATCAAAGAAGGATTCCGTGTGTTCGACAGCCTCCCCACCACAAAGCCCCTGGCACGACGTTACAGTACCTGGGCCGGGCGAGGGCCGTTCGTTCCTCAGCAGGAGCTGTGCTGCCTGGCCACGGCCTGGGGCAGCTCCTGTGCCCAAAGTCCCCACGGTCATTCCCCCCACCAGCCTGCTGGGGATGGCCCAGGGTCTTTACTGCAAGCTGGAAAAGATCGTGGCTCTCCAGTGGGGTTTTCTCATTTCCCAGCCCAGATGGACTCCACGTCCTCCTCTAGAAGCGAAGGTGAGGCATCTTCCTCTCTACACTTGCTTTGCTGCACCTGCAGCGGGGTGGGGGCTCGTGGCGTGCCTCTGAGTGCCTTTGCCTTTCATCACATCAGACATCTGGCATTCATAGAGGCCAGCAGCTCACAGAAAGGGAGCTGGGTTCCCATTGCTGGCTACGTTCAAGGAACAGAGTTGCTATTCTGGGAAACAGCAATTTCAGCAGCTGGCACTCCCTTCCGAGATGAGCAGATTAACGCCACCCAGCTGTAATTGCTGGTGCTGCTCTGCCAAGGTCCTGCCGTCAGTGGGGTCCCAGAGCTTGGCTGGGTTTGGCCTTTTCCACACCTGTCAGTCCCTTCCCCTCTCAGGGGAGGCCTCGCTGCTGTCTCTGTGTGGGAAAGGCTAAGTTAATTCTCTTTGCACCTCCCAGTCCTTCCTTGGCAGGTCCCTCAGGCAGGGCAGGGAGCTGCCTGCGCCTCCACAGCTTCATTTCCTCCTTTGTGTTCTTTTATCCTCCTCTCCCCGGCAGGGGCTGGCCCTGCAGATGTCCCCAGCAGCAAATAGTCACCTGCCCAGTGATAAACTGGGTGTGATCAGGCCCTTGGCCATGCAGGCTCTGGGGAGCCACTGGGACGTGCCACCATCCTGGGCTCTCCTGCGCAGAGCAGGTGCTGCTGCACCCCTAAACCCTCCAAATGGAGACACGGGTCATTCCTGGTCTGGGGGTGAGGAAACAGAAACCAGCTGCCACAGTGACTTGCCCACAGTCCTGTGGTGGGTCGGTGGTGGAGATGGGAGTAGCACCAGCTCTGGAACTGCAGTGTTTTAATTACACATCTCTTCCTTCTGCCAGCACAAGACAGGTCAGGTCAATACACAGATATCAGGACACCTGAGTCCCCTGCCCAGGCTCTGCAAACTGGTTTCTTTGTGCTTCTACTTCCCAGTGCTGCTGGTGGCCACAGTGTGGCTCAGTGAGCCCCACGGCTCTGGGCTGGCTGGTGTTGCAAACAGAATTGCCAGGACCAGTGTCGTAACTAGTTGTTCACAGAGTGTGTCCTGAAAGCAAACATCCCTATCCTTGGGTTGCTACCTAGATTATATTCTTAATGTATTCTAGTGGCATTATGAAATTCTAGTGGGTTACTTAACCACCTTTTAGCTGCCAAAAAAAAAAAAAATAAAAAAATCCCATCTGTAGTTCAGCCCTTCGGCATCATTTCCTTGTGCTCTGGCAGAAACCAGCAAACTCCAGCATTTCAGGGAGCTTAGCAGCTGATCCACTGAGCAGGGGGAAAGGACGGGGAGGCAGCAGCTCTGGGGTATTGGAAGTGCTGAGATGAGCAGATCTTCTTGCCTTTCTTCAAAACACTCATCTCGAGAGCTGCGAGTCGCCAAGCCTCCAAACGTCAGGACTGCCACACTCTCTCTACTCTGTGCCTTGGGCTTGTCGGGGAGATGCTGCTCCTTGTCTGGGGGAACACAGAGCCCCCTCATCCCGTCCACCCCCCTGGTCCATCCCACTGCTCTTTCCTTTGGCATCGTCCCTGCACTCTCAACCTTTGCTGTGGAAGCGTGTTGTGAAAGCCAGGGGAGGAGTTTTGCTGCCTGCAGCAGAAAGATAACGCAGTGGAGTGTTAAACAGCTGAGTAAGTCCTGGCCTGGGACTGTCGGGGTGCTCAGAAGCGAGGGCCAAGGGAAGGGGTGAGCCTGCCCCGTGCCAGCTGGCACACAGCGGTGGAGCTTCGTCCCAGCGAGCTTGGCAGTGAGCAGCCCTTGGCTGAGGCTCTCTGGGCTGAACAGGGCAGTGCCGGGGCCGATCCCGCTGCATCCCCACCCTGGGAGCTGGCAGACTTTGCATGCTGGTCCCACAGGCTGCCCGTCCCCACAGTTCTCCGGGGAGATCCTCCCCTGAGGAGCAGGGCAAAGCAAAGTTTCTTTTTTCAGAGTGAGTGTAAGTGCGTCTGGGCAAAGCGCTGGGCACTCGGCTGCGCTCCCGGCGCCGTGCCTGGGAGGGAGCCAGCCCTGGCTACCGGAGGGGCCAGCACCAGGGCAGCAGCGTGGAGGAGGATATAAGTAGAATCACAGAGTAAAATCCCAGAATCATCTGGCTTGGAAAAGCCCCTGCAGCTTCTCCAGCCCCACCATGACCCTCATCCTGACCGTTCCCAACTCCCCCAGATCCCTCAGCGCTGGCTCAGCCCGACTCTTCAACCCCTCCAGGGATCCCGGGGACTCCCCCCTGCCCTGGGCAGCCCATTCCAACGCCCAACAGCCCCTTCTGCACAGAAATCCTTCCTAATATGTCTCATCCTCTTCCATCAGGCAGAGAGTGCCAGGACCAAAGCAGCAGCTCTGACAATGACCGTACAGGCCATGGATCAGCATCGCCTGGTGAGCAGACACCTGCACCCAACCTCTGACCCTTCTTCTGGCCCAAATAAAGCGACACAGGGACACGTCTCTTCTGACAGGGACACATCTCTTCGGGGGCCTCCTCCACACCAGGAACGAGGCTTTGCAGCCTGGGGCCTGTGAGCACAAGGGGTGATTTGTCCCATGTGTGGTGGGATCCCAGAGGAGGACATTTCCTCAGGGGTTGTGGAAGGGGCTGGGGCATTTGCTGCTGTGCTTCCCTGATCCTGCAGCCCCCGACTTGCCCTGCGTGTGCTTCGATCTCGCTCTCACCCAGGTCCCCGGAGCGGAACGTCGCGGCGGTGCAGACCCCAGCCTGGTGCTGCACTCAGGTCTAAGCTCTGTGTCTGGCTGAAGGTCCCGCATGGTTCACAGGACAGCGCTCTCCAGAGCTCAGCCACCGGTCGCTGCACTGGGGAGCCTTGGACCTGAGACTAAACCACGCTCTGGCGTGAGAGGGACCGTGCTAAGGGCAGCCTGGGAGCTTGGGGATTGCAGTGCTGGTTGCTGTTATCTCGTATCTTGTTATCTCGTTATCAGTGCCTTTATTGCCAGGTTCAGTTGGTATGGAGCAAATTCCATCATGAGGTTGCAGTCAAGCCTGGGGTGGGGGGAAGTTGCTCAGGGATTAGCGGGTGGGGGTGCAAGACTTGGCTTGGGGAATGAAGAGAATGGAGCAGGGTGTCTCTCCTCCTTTGGCACAAACACCTTCCGCTGCCTGTGGATGCGAGGACTCCAGTCAGTGCTGGGGGAGGAACTGAATCAGCTGCCTGAGGACTCTGACCTCAGGGGGGGCTCCGGAGCTGAGGCAGTTCCTGGCTGCTGGGAGGAACTGGGAGGAACTGGGAGGACTCCGCGGTTCCTTGACTGCAGTGGGTCTTTCTGGGTTTCTTCAGGGACCCACAGGATCAGTGGGGGCTTCCAGTGCTTCACAGAGGAGAAGTGTGGGAACAGTTGTGGTAATTCCTGAGCTCTTGATGCATAATCCCGGATTAATTCGATATTAAAGCGATGGGCACGCTTTTCTGAATTCTCCTCCAGTCTCTCCAGCGCGGGTGCAGCCTCACAGCCCACTTTGCCGAGGTCACGTCTGTCTGCGCAGCCACCCCTGCTCTCAGGGACACCGGGGAGCCCCCGGGGGGGCCGTGCTGGCTGCTCAACACACCGGGCAGCCTCGTAACCTGAGCTTTGGTTTCTCCCAGGCTCCAGGGTGAAATTCTACCTCAACCCCCAGCACTTGGCCGGGCTGTGCAAGGGGGAGGGAGCCTCTGTCTGAGCCTCCATCAGCCCAGCCCAGGCACTTGGGTGATTTCCTAGCAGGTTTTTTTGCCTCCCACCATCTCATCTTTCAGGCAGGCTTAATCCCAGCTGGTTTTTGCAAGGCTGAGAGTTGAGGCGGGTCTGCCCTGAAGGTGTTTCCTCCCTTTCGTGTGGTTTTAGCGCTGCTGGGTTTGTCTGCTAACCCCGGGGGGAAGGGAAGAGCCTTGCTCAGGAGGAGCAAAAGCATTAGCACAGGGCGAATGCTGAGTGTTGGCCATCCAGGTATCAGCAGAAGGCACACAGAGGACATCAGCCGGGAGCTTAGGCCTGAGCAAGGCTGGGCTGGAGCTCAGCTCTGAGATGTGCCCTGTGGATACGCAGCCTGGCCCCGTCCCTCTGGGAGACACGGTGGGCACAGGCACAGCTCTGCGGGCAAAACATCTCTTCTTGGCATCTCCCAAATGGTTTAAGACGCGCAGGTCTGCCAGAGGAGGGAGAACGTGTTGGAACAAGCAGTCACGTCCCGCAGGGCTGCCCAGGACCCACTGTCTGACGAGACAAAGGGGAATCGGGCACCCTTCGAGGAGCTTGGGTGGCCGAGGATGAGAGAGGCTGAGCTCCGGTGCAAGAGGATTTCAGCTGATCCAGGAAACCCCCAGCCTAATCCGAGTCCTGCCGGATAACCTTGGGCAGTTGCTCTGCCTCTCCGGCCTTCACCGTTCCTCTGGTCAAAACGGGGCCGATATTCCCCTCCCGAGGGAAACACCTGGAGACCTGCAGATACAGGAGCTTCCCCCGTGCTACCTCCTGGCACAGTGGGTTAAACTATTTTGGAATTGACACATTCTACAATTTTTCTTTAATAAACCAGAGCCATCCACCGCCAGTTACCCTTCACAGACCCATCGCTCAAGGAGCCAGAGAGGTGCTGTCAGACACAGGGTAATTACCACAGGTTTGCTTTGGAGGTTAAAAAAACCCTCTTGGTGTTTTTTGGTCTGTGGCTTCCTTAGCGATGGTGCTGATAACTGGAGAGCAGCTCTGCTCCCTGCGCCTGAACCTGCCCCTCGCCACGCTGAACTTGCACGAGGCATCTTAAGCAAACGCGCAGAAAAGGCCTTTAGCCGTTGTTGGGGGCGATTTTACAAAGCCTCTCGTTTGTCTGCACCGAGTAGTGTTCCTGCGGGGAGAGGACTTCGCTGGCGTTGTTCCACTCCCCCTCCACACGCTGGTTTCTCTCCTGGATTCCTGGGCTCACGCTAACGGCGGCGTGTCCAGGTAAGCGGGGTCCCGCACCAAGTACCTCGTCACACCACCGCTGCAAAATGAACCAGAGATGTTTCTGGGTTTTCTCTGTCTTTCTCCTTCTTGTAGCCAGCACAGATTCCCTGGGTGGGGTCAGGGACAGTCAGTGCCGGTGCTGGACACCGATGGGGCACCCCCAGCGCACCAAACCAAGGCTTATCTGAACTGAGCTGGGCTGAGCTGAGCCAGGCCAAGCTGATCCAAGTGGGCCAATTCGATCCAAACGGGACCCAGCTGAGCTGAGCTAAGCCAGGCTGCAGTGCCCAAACCGAGCTGAACGCAGTTGGTTCAGTCTGAACAGGACTTAGCTGAGCTGAGCTCAGCTAAACTGCAGTGCCTGAACCAGGCTGAACTGAGCCAGTTTGATCCGAATGGCATCTAGTTGAGCCAAGCTGAGCTAAATTGCAGTGCCTGAGCTCAGCTGAACCGAGCCAGTTCAGTCTGAACAGGATTTAACTGAGCCTAGCTCAGCTAAACTGCAGTGCCTGAACCAGGCTGAACCGACCCAATTAGATCTGAAGAGGACCTAGCTGACCTGAGCCGTGCTAAACTGCCTGCTCAAACCGAGCTGAACTGAACCAGTTCAGTTCAAACAGGACCTGGCTGAGCCGAGCTCAGCTAAACTGCAGTGCCCAAACCGAGCTGAACCGAGCCAGTTCGACCCAAAGGGAGCTGTGCCAAGCCGGTTCCACTCTGGCTGTGCTGATGTGGACAGAGCCGAGCCCAGGCGTGTCGGGCCGAGCCGAGCTGAGCCGAGCCGGGCCCAGGCATGTCGGGCCGAGCCGAGCCGGG